GTGGACTTAACAAGATATTTCAATCGATAAGACAACAATAGAAATGACTTCATAGAGCAGGGTCCTTCAGAAAGAGCTTCACTTTGGCATGGAGTAAATATGAGTATCTCAGTTGCAGAAAATCAAACTGTTAAAGTTCCACAAATAAAGGATACAAATCTATTCGAAAGTTCAAAACTTTACATCTGCAAGTGCATATATGTAACTTGGTTCAGCTAATTCATACCTGAAACACTAATCTAATGCCATCTCTAGTGTCTACTGCCACAGGCATACACGAGGAGAAGTAGCCACTGTCGATGATCCTGTGCACATCCTCTTGAACTTCCTGCACAGTGAGAGCTGAATTCGGGCGGCAGGCCTTCAATGCCGCCATCGCCTCAGCTTCAAGGTCCTTTCTCTCCAGCTCCTCGCCATCTTTGTTCTTAACCAACACTTCACTAATCAACACCCTCTCTTCATCACCCCTACTCACGGAGTGTCCACCGCTCTTCTGCTGCGTCACCACCGAAGCTTCCGGCGGGCCAGAGTCAGCGGGCTGACTCAGAGCCAACGATGCAGAACACAGAATTGACTGCCGCCGCGGCTGAGAACCAGTGAGCGAGAGCGACGCCGAACATAGAAGGGGCGAGCGAAGGCTTCGAGCTCCCGAGTGTCGCTGAATCGAGCCGAGGGAGCGAGAAATTAGGGAGTTTAGGATATTGTCGAAGGAGGATTTCGCTCTGGCGAGCTGTGATAGTAGATTATGAGCGAGGAACGGCGGCAGTGGTGGAGGGAGATTGTGGTCGGAGAGAGGAGGGATTTTGACGGTGGACGAAGTGATGCGAACGTCGCTGTTGCGCCGCGGCGGCGGCATTGAAGCTTGAGAAGGAAGCAGAGAAATTGAGCAGAATTTCGTTCTGGCGAGCTGAGCTAGTAGATTATGAGGGAGGAACGGAGGCGGCGGCGGTGGAGGAGGATTGCGGCCGGACAAAGGAGGGATTTTGACGGTGGACGAAGTGAAGCGAACGTCGCTGTTGCTCCGCGGCGGCATTGAAGCTTCAGAAGGAAGCGGAGAAATTGAGGAGAATTGCTGAGGGCTTGCAAGGAGGGAAGGGAGGATAAACCCTAGTTTGAGAAGACGGCGGAGGCGATAAATCCGATCAGCTGCAGCAACCGGCGGCAGCTGCAAATACCGAAAATCGGAAATAAGACGAAATAAAAGTTCGTTCCTTGAACTTGGAGTAGGCTAACGAGCCCGGGAAGGAAATAGGCCTTGTTCATCCCTAAGTACTGGGCTCGTGGAGCTAGGTGATGTATTGGGCTCATTGGGCTTTTTGGTGATGGGCCGTTTTTTTCCTGGCTGCCTGGGATCTTTTGATTCAGATAGGAATGGAATGGAATGGAGGGTTGGTTTCATTTTCATGAAAATGAATGAATGTAGCTAAAAGAACAAACATCCCCAATGTGTTTGGATGCAGAAAAAAGGTGTTAGATATGAATCTGATAGTGGCTTCTAAGGGCAGAGTCAGAAGTTCAAATAAGGGGACACAAAAAAAAAAGGTTCTGAATTGTGAATTTGTGATAGCTGGATGGACGAGCATTGAAACCTAACTAATTGTTTTATTATTTCCTCGATAATCATGTGTTTTCATGTGTTTCTGACTATATTACTATGGAAATTGAGTGAGATGGCCAAGCATAACATATTTTTGTTGCGGAAATTAGTTGTTGTGAACTTCAAATTTTGTTTGAATTTATATATCCAATTTCGATAAAATTACTAGAAAAATTAAGAATTTCGCAATAACAATTAGAATGAAAAATCTATAAAATGACAGATAAACTTGTCATAAAAACAAATTTAAATGTCCTATCGCAAAAATGAGGTCACCTATACAATTGAACGTATACTCAAACATAACCTAATCTAGACCATTTTTTTATTCGAATTCGGAGTCGAGTTGGATTTCTCTTGTCGTGCATTGCACATACGGTGCTGACCTAATCTATGGCTCGTGGGTGCTTCAAGCTAAGTAGTGTTGAATAAAGGAACTCCAATGAAAGGGAAAGCCAAAAATCAGAGAGGAAAAAAAGATCAAAAAGCAAAGGAAAAGGGAAGCATGCTTTGCTTTTTTTCCCCATCTATCCATGGTGTAAAGCAGGAATTCAGAAAGGCATTGCATCTCTCTTTTTATCTTCATTGGCACTTAGACCCATATACGTAAATGTCATGTAAAGATCCTCATGATCATGATCTCTTCCCCAAATAATAATATGATTTGCTTAGGAGATTCATTATTCGATCCACAAATCTGGCTAAGTACGAGAGAGTGAATGTTTTAGTTAAAATAATATGCTTCTTGGTAAATGTTTTAGTTCCTCATAAAGATGTGAAACCGCATTGAAAGTTAAATCGAGAATACTATAACGCGGGTAGAATATTAACGAGTAGATGTATGCAGAAGTCGTGGAGAGTTGAACTCTTGGGTTGGAAGCAAGATGAACTATATATATGTGGTCATTTGGCCATAATCTCATGACAGAATACCTAACCCTTGTGGAATGAGACATTTGACCCAAACCGTGTGTCAATTTGTAATACCTCCATTTGAAACAACCTATAACACGCTTCCTCGAGTATAGTGAAACTGGTTTCTCCTATTCGTGAACATAGTTAATAGCTAGCACGTTTGATCATTCCGAGGTTAAAGCGCGTATATGGCCGATGTTTGAACACAGCATCATCATCATGGTCAGATCTTCCCTTCCCCAGCTGAAGCTAGCACGATTAGGTTACAAAGGGAATGCAAAGCTACAACAAAGCGCCTGCTAGACGTCGTAGAAGGCGCCATGCGGCCATGCTGCTCGTCACCATTTGTTGGTCGGGTCTACACAAAAAAAGACGACTGATTGTCTGATAAATTTGCACTGGTCGATGAAGTGGACGATAGTGAAACAGGAAAGTAAGACAACAATTGCTTTGCTTTTGGAAAAAGATGCATGTGTACGCATCCCACTATTGTATATTGAAAGGTGAATGAGAAAGGAAAAGAGAGGTAAAAAAATAGAGTCTGGCTGATCCATATTATAAAGTAGTCAAAGTTGCGCATCTATTGGTTCGTTAATTAGTTGTTAATAATTTGTTTCATCGTAGGGTTTGAGCATGTCAATTATGTATACATGTTATCCACTTTCATGTGTATGGACGGGGAATGGACAATAAAAAAGAAAGATAACGATTAGCGAGAGAGTAAAGATTACAGAAATTTATGTGGTTCACTAATAAAATGTGTGTTAGCTACTCCACGGATGCGGAGAGAGCCAACTTCACTATATTTGAGGAGATTACAGAGGACTATGAGAAATATTTATAGTACTTCTCCAATGGCCTAACGCTTAATCCAATCTGGTAATGAATAATGTTACAGACCAGATCCAACTCAAACGTGTACAAACCCATATTTATAGTAACTTCCCGCCGATGACAGATAATTTGATTCAAGTAAAATATTCTCGTGAAGAAATCTCAACTTTACGAGTCTCCATAATATCCACTATTATGATGAATTCTCCATAAAATTAAACCTTTTTTATAAGAATTTAATCATTTGAATTATAAATTTCATATTAGTAATATTATAAATTCTCATATGGCAATTTGAACATGTCCCTCACGGTATTACCCGATTCGACCCAAAATTGCCTGGAGCGGAACATTGGTACAACTTTCAACTTGACCAGGGGCGGATACATGGGCCTCTAGGGGTGTCCCGGGACACCCCTAAAATTTGGGGAAACGATTATCCAACCTCCGATAATAGTTTCGTATGGGTATACAAAATATAATTGGTAATCCGGGACACCCTAACATTTGAAAAAATGATTATCCTACCCTCGATAATAGTTTGCTTATGATTAACAAAATATAAGTGGTAGTCCGTGTTATTCCAACCTAGGACACTACTATTATCAAACATATTCTAATTATGTTGCTACTCATTTGTTATTCCATTTTAAACATCATGCAACAGTAAAACGCTATTTCTTTATCCCCAACTATTTTCAATACCTAATAATTAAACTACGTACACGCTACCCTTAATTTTGAATTGATTTTATGGTTACATGGCAAGTGTTGAAAGAGTCTTTTCTACTTCGAGCTATATTAAGAACAAGGTTAGAAATCGAATATATGATAAGTTCGTGAAGTATTGTCTAGTAGGATATGTAGATTTTTTTTTAACAGTGCAGACACGGAGTTTATTTATATTATGTTTTCAAAATATGAAAACACATCATGAATTTTAATAAAAATTTTATACAAGTATGATATTTTTAATATACGAATTATTTAATTAAATTTAATTTTTAAGAGGACACCCCCATGAAAATTTTCTGAATCCGCCACTGAACTTGACTGGTCCGTCATGCTGCATTCTTGACCCGTCCTATCTCGATTTGACTCGTTATCTATTTTCATTTTCCTATTTTGGATTTTCTTCAATCATGCCGTCACCGAATGTTGAGTAGGTGCAAAATTTGATCTTTCAACAAATTAGACTCTATAATTTTTTTTTATATCCCTATTTTTATTTTATAAATTGCTATATCTTTAGTTTATTGTAAAAAAAATAAATTTTTTGTGATTATTTTCTTCAAATAACATATGAAAATAAGTCGACCTGTCAGATCCATATTCATACAGATATTACCCAATTTGATTCGGGCTTAATATGAAGTGGTGTAAGATTATTGAAACACCCACCTAATTATCATCACTAATGAAATAAAATCCCTAGTAACAACATTATGAAATGAAAGTCACTTTGATTTTCCCCGGCAAGCATCTAACGTCGGTGAGTTTGGACGGCCAGCCAGCGGGGTTTTCGTACACGAAACAAGCGCCAAAACAAGGAGGCGAATAAAACGAGAAAGAAAAGGAGAATTCTGAATTCTCTTCCTTCTCTCCCTCTTAATTAACGCCGTCAGCGATGGGCGACGACGAGTGAGGGAAAAATGCGATGGTGAGGCCGTAAGCCGTTAAGATTTAAAATGTTTCAAATATTCAAAAAAATTATCAAATCCCCTTGACTATATAAACGCGGCAATCGCACCTCTTGAATTTCTGAACATTCTGGCGCAACCGCCAATCCCTTCCTTCCTCCGCCGCCGCCGCACAATTCTTCTCTCCTCCCACCGGCCGCCGATTTCTGATCATCGCCCGCCGTCCACCTTTCCATCTTTTCGCTCTCTCTTCCTTATCCCGATTTTCGGGAGCCGCAGAATTCGAATCTTTTCTTTTTTCGCCTCCTTTCCCCCTTTTTCCCCGCTTTCCCCCATTTCTTCGATTTGTTCGGCGGCACTGCAGAAACCCTAGTTAGTATCCGACTGTCACTTCACCTCCGTTATCTCGCTATCCGCTCTTCCCCTCCGTGATTCACCGTCGTCGATAGCCAAGGTAATTACCTCTTTGAAGAATTTGATTCATGAGCCCGCGCGCTTTTGACTTGCTTGAAAGTTATGGATCGATTTCGATTCAGAATTTGCTGCTGTTGTTGATGATGGATTGTTTACTTACATGCTGCTGCTGCTTCTGCTCAATTGATTGAGAACTCGTTAATTCGTGGTTTAGTTTAGTCCTGCTGGTGTTCTGGATGGAGGAAAGTGTTGTGTTTCGTACTGCGTCTGGTTGAATCGTGGTCATCGATTGATTATGATTTATGATTGTGGTGCCTTTTCTTAGATTTGTTTCCTTTAGAGGAACCGATGAGCTCGATACGTGAGAATGGTGGTGGGGCGAGGGGTGATGATGATTTGAAGGCGCCTCTACTGCAGCCTGCTTCTGGTGGTGCTGTTGCGATTACTGTCCCTGCTGCTGGACAGAACAGTAAAGCTGCTACTGCTGTGGATAAGAAGGTTCGAACTGCAAAGTTCAAGATAGGAGACATCAAATGCACGTCTTGCACTGGGTCTATCGAGTCTGTGCTCAAGGAGCTAGATGGAGTTCAAACTGTGGCGATATCTGTTCTGGATGGCCATGCTGCTGTCACTTATGTGCCAGAGCTCACCACTGTAAGTCTTTAAGTTGTGAGGACTGACAGTGTTTATCTTTACTTTCCGGAGTTCCAATTGTGCAGACAATTTTGATGTTGTTGTTATTGTCTTTAGGTTGAGAAGATTAAGGAAACAATTGAAGATGCTGGGTTCCCGGTGGAGCATCTTTCGGAGCAGGACATAGCAGTATGTAGGCTCAAGATTAAGGGAATGATGTGTACCAGCTGCGCCGAGTCAGTCGAACGTGCTCTTCTGATGATCGATGGAGTTAAGAAGGCAGTGGTTGGTCTTGCTCTGGAAGAAGCAAAAGTCCATTTCGATCCAAACGTCATAGATATTGCAGGAATCATTGAATCCATTGAAGATTCTGGCTTTGGAGCTGTGCTCGTCAGTTCTGGTGCCGATGTGAACAAAGTGCATCTAAAACTTGAAGGTTTTGAATCCTTGGAGGACTGTAAGCAGATTCAATCTTTGCTGGAGTCAGCACAAGGTGTTAATCATGTTGAAATGGACTTGGATGAACATAAGTTAACTATCAACTATGATTCAGCCATTACTGGGCCGAGATCTCTCATACAGCTGATTGAAGAGGCTTCCCCTAGTCCCAACATGTACCATGCTACACTATACGTCCCACCCAGGCAAAGGGAAAATGATCAGCTTCATGAAACTCAGATGTATAGAAACCAATTTCTGTGGAGCTGCATTTTCTCTGTTCCGGTATTCCTGTTTTCCATGGCACTCCCTATGTTTCATCCTTATGGAAACTGGTTGAGCTATAAGCTTTACCACAATCTCACTGTTGGCATGCTCCTTAGGTGGATTCTATGCACCCCTGTGCAGTTCATTGTTGGTAGAAGGTAATAAGCCATCCCTTTCCTTGTTACTGTCATGTGGAATTTCATGGCAAATCATATTGATGACGCTAATTGGCTTATCCTGTGATGTCTTGTCAGGTTTTACGTGGGAGCGTACCATGCATTGAGAAGAAAATCTGCCAACATGGACGTTTTGGTCGCGTTAGGCACTAATACTGCATACTTCTACTCTGTGTACGTAATCATAAAAGCCACCACAGCCGAAAATTTTGAAGGCCAGGATTTTTTTGAAACGAGTGCCATGCTGATATCTTTTATACTCTTGGGGAAGTATCTCGAGGTTGTCGCTAAAGGCAAGACATCAGATGCTTTAGCAAAACTCACAGAACTTGCTCCTGAAACTGCCTGTCTGCTAACTTTAGACACTGATGGGAGTGTTATTTCGGAGGAGGAAATTAGTACGCAACTTATACAGCGGAATGACATAATCAAGATTGTTCCCGGTGCGAAAGTAGCTGTTGATGGAGTTGTTGTAGATGGACAAAGCCATGTTAATGAGAGCATGATCACTGGAGAGGCAAGGCCTGTTGCCAAACGACCTGGTGACAAGGTACACTTCAGTTGTAGATATCGTAATACTTTTTTGTGAAATATTATGACACAATACGATGACCTATATTTTCGTTGTTATCAGGTAATTGGTGGTACAGTAAATGAGAATGGTTGCATACATGTTAAAGCTACTCATGTAGGGTCTGAGGCTGCACTTTCCCAAATTGTTCAACTGGTAGAGGCTGCTCAGCTAGCTAGGGCACCTGTTCAGCAACTAGCTGACCGAATCTCTCGGTATTTTGTTCCCACGGTAAGTTCATTATGCCCTTTGTTTGTAGCTGCTGGTTGATCTCATAATTTTGCCTGAACTTCTGGATATCCCATTTCAGGTAGTCGTTGTTGCTTTCATAACATGGCTAGTATGGTTCATAGCTGGGGAAGTTGGTCTTTACCCTCGAAACTGGATACCGAAAGCCATGGACAAGTTTGAGCTGGCCCTGCAGTTCGGCATATCAGTACTGGTGATTGCCTGTCCTTGTGCTTTGGGGCTCGCAACACCAACAGCTGTTATGGTTGCAACTGGAAAGGGTGCTTCCCAAGGTGTCCTTATCAAGGGAGGAGATGCCCTTGAGAAGGCACATAAGGTGAAGACAGTAGTCTTTGACAAGACAGGGACGTTGACAGTGGGGAAACCACAGGTGGTCAGTGCTGTCCTCTTCTCCAATTTCTCAATGGAGGAGTTCTGCGACTTGGCTACAGCTGCAGAGGTATGTGAATGTTAAGTATCATAGTTGATAGCAAAAAAGATTGTGTTAAAACAACAAAGGGGACTTGAAATACTGTTAGCTTGAAGCATTACCAATGCCATCAGTTTCTCGATTAAGATTGGTTTTCAATGTCTCATTTGAACAACTCGTAATTTGTTCCAGGCGAACAGCGAACACCCTATAGCGAAGGCCGTGGTCGATCATGCCAAGAGATTTCGACACAAGATTGGATCGAACCCGGATCATATCCCCGAGGTGAAAGACTTTGAGGTCCACACTGGAGCTGGAGTGACCGGGAAAGTGGGCGAGAGAATGGTCCTTGTTGGGAACAGAAGGCTTATGCGGACATCTGAGATCACACTGGGGCCAGAGGTGGAGAAATACATCTTCGAAAACGAAGAGTTGGCTAGAACGTGTGTGCTGGTCGCCATTGATGGGAAGATGGCTGGAGCTTTTGCAGTGACCGATCCCGTGAAGCCAGAGGCTCAACGTGTGATCTCTTTCCTTCGTTCCATGGGGATCACTAGCATCATGGTGACAGGGGATAACAGGGCAACCGCCGCAGCCATCGCCAGAGACGTCGGAATTGATTACTTTTTCGCCGAGACCACCCCGGTTGGGAAGGCTGATAAGATCAAGGATCTACAGGTAAATATCTCTCAACAATCAGAATGAGATGTCAGCTCCAAATGTGTTTTCCTGTGTTTCTGTTCAGCTAATTAGATTTTACCATTGATCCGTTCTTCACAATGCTCGACTGATGCAGGGGAAAGGGGAGATAGTGGCGATGGTGGGAGACGGGATCAACGACTCGCCGGCGTTAGTGGCGTCCGACGTAGGGATGGCGATCGGAGCAGGGACCAACGTGGCCATAGAAGCAGCCGACATAGTCCTGATCAAGAGCAACCTGGAAGACGTTGTCACGGCCATAGACTTGTCCAGGAAGACCATTGCGCGCATTCGGATGAACTACGTGTGGGCGCTTGGTTACAACGTCCTCGGCATGCCGATCGCCGCCGGGATCCTTTACCCGTTCACCGGGATCCGGCTGCCCCCCTGGCTCGCCGGTGCATGCATGGCCGCTTCGTCGCTCAGCGTGGTCTGTTCTTCGCTGCTGTTGCAGTCGTACAAGAAGCCTTTGCATGTTAGAGAGGGCTGACTGGCAAAATTGTAATTTTTGGGTCTTTGTTTGATCTAAAAATATTGTTATATTAGGATTTGGCTTGTTTGCATTCGGTACATACCACCATTAATAAAGGACAGCAGTAGTGTGTGCCTGACAAAGTGATTGAGGTCCATTTTGGAAACAAATTAGGCCAATATTATGGTGCCGCTATAAAAACTGTGGCACCGGTGACGCTGATTTTGATTGGGCCACATAGAGCTGATGTGGTATCACTGGCATGTGTATAACTTAATTAAATCGGTCCAAACTCAATGGCCCATTCGAAATGGCCTAATCCAGCTACCGTCAAACTAACGGACGTCTTCCACCGACTGTTTAATTGTTTTCTTTTTCCATTTTTTTAACATTTAAAATGATATTTTTAGGTACCAAAATGTAATTTCCAATGATATTTTGCGTATAAAAATATAAATTTTAGGTACCAAAATGTAAAATATAAAAAATATAGGTACCAAATCGTAATTTGCCATTTGGATTCATGGATTGATCCATGAATCCACCAATCCAATTGGATTTGGATCAAATGGATTGGATTTAAATGGATTGGATTAAGCGGATAATTTGGTGGATGGATTGGATTGGATTCATGGATTTGGATCCTAACTGCCACCTCTAGTTCGGACACAACAGATTGGTTTGGTACATTCCGAACCAACATTTGAACAAGACGAAGTCATTTCATATGTATATGTGGTTCAATGTTTTTCTTTCGTCATCGATAGGTTGTATAAGAAGACAGTTAAAGCACAACAAGCAACCAAACGCACAGTCGACCAATAGCCGAACTACCGATGAAATAACATCAGTAACCGTGCAATCAGCAACACAGGACCCAATTTAAAAGAATTTTAACAGCAGAGTAGCGGAAGGGATGTGTTTAGGAAAAGTCAAACAAACTAGTAGGGGTGGCTATACGGTCCTGTCCGGTTAAATTGGACCAAATTGATCCGGTCCCAGCCCGGTCTTTTCGGGAATATAAGGACCAAAGATTGGATTGAATACAGTCCGGTCTTGACCCGGTCCGGTCCCAATTTGATCTTGATTTTAGATTGAGCTTGTTGGGATTTGAGTGTTGGGGTCTCTTATCCGGTCTTTATCCGGGTTTTTTTTTTTACCTCAAATCTAAGCCGAATATGAGATTGAATTGTTTGCTATCCGATCCCAGTTCGATCCCGATCCGGTTTCGAATAAAACCAAACAGTCCGGACCAAATAGCTAGTCCTACAAACTAGGGACTGGCATATAAAAAAAAATTGATAGGATAGGGACCTCAATAGGGCCACACCTTATAGTTCCAGGGCCACATAATCATTTTTAACCCAAAATAACAACAAAGAAGCAAAATCAGCCACACGTCCTATTTTCTGTCTCACCCTGATCCGATATTTCCTGCCAAAAAAATAAAAGAGTAAAAAAATATACACTCTTCAATTTTCCAATTCCTTCATTCTCTCCTTACCACACACACTGGAATGCTAACAATAGCATCACTCTACTTCTCTCTCTTTCTCTCCTGCCTCTAGGGTTTGCCTTCAAATACCTCACTTCCTAGGTGCGTGTTCCAATCCTGATTGCCTTCACCTTCCGCCCGAAACCCTTTGGACAGGTCGATAGTTCGTCGGAAGAAACAATGTCTGACAATCAACAGCTCGCGCTATCACTTGTACGCCAGAGGATGACGACGGCCTACAACCAGGTCGGTCTCGGCTCCAAGCTCCCACAGGACCTTTTTCAGGTCCGATATGGCGGCAGCCCGGTGCTACTCCGGAGGAACTTTGCATATGGCAACTACTCCAACCCTGGACTGCAGGGCTATGTCCCTGTAACGTCGACGACGATGTCGAACGCGGTGTGTGTCCAGGCGCCGTCGGAGAAAGGCCTGACAGGGTTCGCCATCGATTTCCTCATGGGCGGGGTCTCTGCGGCCGTGTCCAAAACCGCTGCGGCTCCGATCGAGCGCGTGAAGCTGCTGATCCAGAACCAGGACGAGATGATCAAGGCCGGGCGGCTGTCGGAGCCGTACAAGGGGATCGGGGACTGCTTCTCGAGGACGATGAAGGATGAAGGGATGATGTCGCTGTGGAGGGGGAACACTGCTAATGTCATCCGTTATTTCCCCACTCAGGTTCTTTTTTTTTTTTTTGCTGCTTTCTCTTCAATTTGATAAAAATATCATTTTTCTCGAAATCGAGAATGCAAGAAAGTAAACCGACACATGGATTTACGTGATGCGGTAACATGATGGGTGTTGGCTTTATTCACATGTAGAAGAGATGTGTTTTTACTATAGTTTTATAGGGTTGTACGTCTAGCCCTAGATACTCAGTGACTCGGCCCGATCGACTCTGTTGGTCAGCCTCGATTAGTTTCTCTACCGATTCAATTTAGAGTATGGTCATCTTTTTGGCAATGTAAGCGTCGGGTAGGATCAAGTCAATTTTTAGGGTAGGTCATTTTTTGGCCCAATGACTTATAACTAGTGATATAAAATTCCTCATACCAATACATTGAACTTGTTTGTAAAGTTTTAAAAGTTTAGGTATTATAATGCAAAGTACAAGATATAAAGATACTAAACGTAATTTTACCATCAAATTTATGATCCTTTTTTGTAAAAAAAAATAGAGTTTAGGTACTAAATTGTAAGAAAAAGTTTGGTTATTAAAATGTTATTTTCTAAAAAAAGTGTGTGTTTATTGATGCGAGTGACCCACCGATATGGTCCTGGCCCTACCTGCACGAGCCTGCAGACAAGACGAAAGGAGAATAGGGATGGGTCGAGTCAAGTTTGAGCTTGACCCTACATAGCAGTATTTTTTTTTTTTTTGGTAGCGGCAAAATCAGGTTAGGTTTCGTCTAGTTTCACTCATAAATTACTTGAGTAGAAATAGATTACAGAGATTGAGAAGATATATGTTGCACCTTCTCAAAACTGTTTAATCCTAATCTCATCTGGAAAGAATTCAACATTTGTCTTACAGTAAGACCCCAGTAACTTTCCGTCAAGGACAAATAATCTATTTTTCGAGTGATAGCAACATATTATATTTTTAACTTGTTACAACTCTTTGATCTCCCCAACCTTGTTAACCTTTTCTCCAGGCGCTGAACTTTGCCTTCAAAGATTACTTCAAGAAGCTCTTCAACTTCAAGAAGGACCGTGATGGCTACTGGCCGTGGTTCGCCGGAAACTTGGCCTCCGGCGGTGCAGCTGGTGCGTCGTCGCTCTTCTTTGTCTACTCCTTGGACTATGCCAGAACCCGCCTGGCCAACGACGCCAAGGCCGCAAAGAAAGGAGGGGAGAGGCAGTTCAACGGCCTCGTCGACGTGTACAAGAAGACGATGGCGACCGACGGCATTGCTGGACTCTACCGTGGGTTCAACATCTCCTGCGTCGGGATCATTGTCTACCGTGGCCTCTACTTCGGCATGTATGACTCCCTCAAGCCTGTCGTCCTCACTGGAAGCCTCCAGGTTAGTTAACGTTTACGACTTTTCTCAACTACTCCAGTTATTCGGACTACGAGGAGTGATCGTAAAGATAATTTGAAATAGTGAAAGGTACGTGATAGTATTGCTTTCAATGAAAGTTGGTGGTAATGAGTTTTGATAATGATATCATAGTCTTTGTTGATCTGAATGTCACATACATGAACTAGTTCGGGTAGACACTGATATCAACAGTAGAATGAAAATTATTACGACGGGTTTTGCATAAACATCAAGTCTGATGGACGAGATTTAGTTTACGTGGGATTGACGCACGATCTATGCGCTGCTTATACCGAAGGCTCCTTTGGATGATGGATTTGATGAGACAATTTGACCCAATTGTCTCAAAAGATACAATTGGATCAAATTGTCTCAAAAGATACAATTGGATCAAATTGTCTCGTTTGGCAACATAATATAGGGATGCATAACAGTCGAGTTGTGAGACCGTCTGAATTGTTTCATTTTTTTATATTTTTGAATTGACAAGGGAGAGAACAAACAAGTATTGTGAAATGATTTGGTTTCTGTGAGGCAATTGTAAGATGAGGTAATTAAATTAAATCGTGTCATTTCATAAAATCTATCAACCAAATGACTCTAAAAGAACAAGTATGTTGTATTTGTCGCGATAAACCTAATTCTGTATGAAATGGCGTGTTAACCTTTAATCCAATTTTTAGCTCAAAATTTTTTCTGATTGGCCTAATATTATTGGGATGAACTGATTATCAACGCAAGCAACTCTTTTTACTCATGTAGAAAATTCCATTTGTTTGTTGTTGTTGTTGTCATTGTGTTCATCATTTCAGGATAGCTTCTTCGCAAGCTTCGCCCTCGGCTGGCTCATCACCAACGGCGCCGGCCTGGCCTCCTACCCGATCGACACCGTCCGCCGGAGAATGATGATGACCTCCGGCCAGGCCGTGAAGTACAAGAGCTCCATGGACGCCTTCTCCCAGATCCTGAAGAACGAAGGCACCAAGTCACTGTTCAAGGGCGCCGGCGCCAACATCCTCAGGGCTGTTGCAGGAGCCGGAGTGCTCGCCGGATACGACAAGCTCCAGATGATCGTGTTCGGCAAGAAGTATGGCTCCGGTGGAGCTTAAAGAGAAAGGAAAAGAGAACCCCCCAAATTTTGAGATTCAGCATCTATGCTGAAAATGAGAGGCATTAATTTAGTTTCAAGAGCATATGATGGCCTAAACTGAGAGGCATTTCCCCCATCATAACCTAGTTTCAAGTAGTATACTTCTCATATATGATCATATATATATATATATATGTTAAATTTTCATGCTTAATCTTTTGTTTGTTTTGTTTTTGCTATTCTTTGTAAACACTTTTATAGGGGATTTTAACCCCAGGATTGAATTCATAATGGATTCGATGTTATCATTGTTGATTATAGCTTTACCTAATAATTACTATAGTTGACTTTTTTTATTTAAAAGATCGTTAGTTAATTAGCCCTAGATTTGTTAAGTACTAGGGTTATAGGTATAATATGCCCCTCTACTATGACGTTTTATCAAACATGCCCCTCTACTATTTTTTACATCAAACATGCCCCTGTACTTTGGAAAATCTATCAAACATGCCCTTCAGTTGAAATTTCCATTGAAAAAATCATCAATCATGGTTGAACCGAGATTTAGACGACCTGCCATCGATAAATGGGAGGGGAAATGTCAATTTTGACCCTTGTTTTATTTCTCTAGGTCTCATCAAAGTGAAATTATTAGAATTATTTGGCTATAAAAAAAGAACAAAAAAAAAAACTCTAAAGTGAAATTATTAGGGATATTTTAGATAT